GCTGCCCACCTGGCCGTTTCTTCTGCCTCCCTGGTTGCTGTCTGGGAGTCAAGGGATGGCACTGCTCAAGGGCGGATGGCTCGTTGTGGCTGGGGAGCGGGGCGGGCAGGGCTAGGGAGGCAGAACGCTGAGTCCCTCCTCAATTGTCCTGTGGGGACTTGGGGCCTAGTTTCCTCAGCTGTAAAGTAGGAACAGTGACAGTCACATCCCAGGCTTGGATGTAAAGCTTAAGTGGGATAACGGTGGTCAGAGTGCTTTTACAACATTGAGTCCTGAGCAAGATGCAAGGAGGTGATGATGACAGTCCTCGCAGAGCAGACGGTGTCGTGTCGGTCAGGGCTGGGTCAGAAATGATGCTGTGAGTGGGAAGCGACTGCTCTCCTGCTGTTGCATTGCGTTCTGTCCGGTGAACACTGGGCGCCTCCTGCCCTTGGGGGGGGGCTACCGTGTGGATTGTTACGGTTCCTGCGCCTGGGGCAGGGCCCACGGTCTAGAGGAGAGAAGGTACAAAATACCGTGGGAATACAAGGATAATTTGTTTTCCCAAAGAATTGATTTTCCACATATTTAAGAAGGAAAAGTGTCATGCAGAGGCTTTTTAAAGAAGTCTTTTGATGAAGTAACCGGTTGGTTTCCTCCATCTGTGACCATCGAAGGGTGTAGAGGAGGGATGTTTGCGCTGCAGTGGTGGAGTGGACTGCATCGGAAGGGGGAGTGTCTGCACTTGGAGCTAGTGGACGAAGGGAGGAGAATATTCTGATTAGACACTCACAACACTTTGATGAAAGTGCACGCCTCCCTGGACCACACTGTTACTGGCGTCTGCTCTGCGTGCCTGTGATGGCGGGCGACAGGCTCTGGAACCTCCAGCGGACTCTGAGCCTGGTGCACGTTCCTCAGCTCCTCATCCGTGATGTCCCACCTCCATCACCAGGCAGACTCCTGCGGTGGGTTACTTGGTAAGAAAACTTGGTAAACTTACTCTGTTTTGGAAGTAAGACTGGTGGGGAGGTTTTCTTGCTGTTGTAACTGTGCCTGGTAGGGAGTCAGGGAAGGCCCTCCAAGGAGGTGACATTTGTGTTGAAAGTGTTTAGAAAAGGCAGCCAAGTACAGGTGAGAGGAAGGAGTGCTCCGCCCAAGGAAGAACAGGTGCAAAGGTCTCGGGGTAGGAGTGCACGCGGACCTGGCTCAGGGGTGAGGGAGAGAGAGAGAGGAGAGTGCAAGTCGGGGAGCGCTGCAGCTGATGACAGGTCCCGAGGACACACCTCCAGATATGCAAGCCTCGCTGAGGGCTGGACACCCTCCAATAGGATTTTAAGAATCACATAGTTAAATCTTGACTTGAATGTGTCCTTTCTTATCATGGAAGAACAGTAGGTGGGAACAACTGGCAGATATGTGGCCCTCGGGGAATTTGAAGTCTAGCAGGAAAGACAGAGCAGCTCGAAGAGTCAGTGATGAGGTGAGTTTGGTGGAGGTTTGCAAGTCCCAGCTGCTGGCTGCCGCCCAGGGAAACACGCACGTCATCCTGTGTGCTGAGAGCTGGGCCCATGTCTGAGGGACCATGTCATCAAAGTGACTGTTGAGGGTGACAGTCATGGTGGCGGGGTGGCTGAACTGGGGCCCGGGAACAGGGGGCAGTGTCGAGGCCGTGCTCTGATCTAGACCTGCGGGCCAAGCCTGGGGTGGAGGTGCAGGAGAGCCGCTGGAGCCTGCAGTTCTCCTGGAACGGGCTCACAGCGCCTGGGGTGCTGCATCCGGGGTTACGAAGCCAGTAACACAGGGCTGACAGCCATTCCTGCCAGCCACCTTTGGGACCAATGCGTCCATGCTTTCTCTAGTGCTGTGTTAGACTCAAGAGGGTTATTAAAAAGAGGTTGCCCTGGCTGGGGTCAGATTTTGTCCAGCATCACTTCACCTGCAGCGTCGTGAACACCAGCGTCTGTGTGGCCGGGTGCTGTGCCGGGCCTCCTTGCACTCGGACCTCCAGGAAGGTGGAAACAGAAACAGAACACACGGCCTGCGGTGAACGGTGCACCGTACACGGTCTCCACAAGTACCCTGGAGATTAGACTGTCTTTACATTTATTTTTATAAATAACACATACTTATTAAGAGAAATCTGAGAAACAAAAAAGTAGGACTGAGTTCCACTCTGACAACCAACTGTAGAGAGCGTCTCTGTTCTCTTCTGCCTCTGGGCTGGCGTGATTACTTCCCTGTGACCGTGGTGCACACACAGTGTCAGCTCTTGGGGCGGTTTCTCGTTTTCTTACATACTCTTTCTGGGCAGTGGGGTGTTTTTTTTAAGCCTGAAATGAAAGTGTGTCTTGGAAAGTCCCAGTAAATGATGAAGCCATGTGTTAATGAGCCAAGGAAGGGGTGGCACCAATGAGCCGCTTTGGCAAGATGAATGGGATGAGAAGCTAGGATGACAGGCTCGGAAAGGCCACCAGCAGAGCGGCCGGAGCGGTCGAGTGGAAGGTGCCTCTGTGAAGCGCAGCACTTGGCGCCTGTGCCATCTGCTGCACACCTGGATGGAGCATTAACTGTCCTTCCTCAGTTCTGTGTCACGTGGGACTCCAGAGGGATGTGACCTGCGAGGCAGGAGTGCTCTGTGGCTGTGTTTTCCACCCTTTACAGTGACCTCGGGACACGAATTGGTTTCACTGAGGCCATGTAAGTGGAACAGTATGTGGTCATTGATTGTGAAAGACAGCTTTGGGGTTTTTTCACTTGATCCTTTGCATTATATTAATATTGGTAAATATTTTTTATAATTACAGAGGAGAAAGGCATGCATTTTAAAGCAAAAGTGGTGTGTATATATACACACACACACATACACACACACACACCCCCCTTCATATTTGTACAGTATCTAGTGATGGTCAATATTTTCTCTCTTCTTCCAGACATGTTTGTTTTTGTGTGTGAGGAAGATCACCCCTGAGCTATCATCCATGCCAATCCTCCTCTTTTTGCCAAGGAAGACGGGCCCTGAGCCAACATCTATTGTCAATCCTCCTCCTATTTTTTTTCCCTCTTTCTCCCCAAAGCCCCAGTAGACAGCTGCATATCACAGTTGCACATCCTTCCAGCTGCTGTATGTGGGATGCCGCCCCAGCACGGCCGGAAAAGCGGTGCGTCAGCGTGCGCCCAGGATCCGAACCCGGGCTGCTAGCAGCGGAGCATGCGCACCCAACCGCTAAGCCACGGGGCTGGCCCCCCCAGACATGTTTTTAATATAACCTCTGAAATTTTAGATCATAGCTAGTACTCAGAGAAAACTCTTTCTACATGATTTGTAGCCCCATTACTGGTTTAGACCAGTGGTGTGTCGGAACACAGGGCAGTGAAGAGCCTCCTCAATGTCTCAGTGACAGACGGTTGTCAGCTCCCACCCAGAAGTCACTTAGCTGCAGAAGAAGGTGATTGGCACTTGCCTGGTCCCGGGAGTGGCCCCCTTCCCCTGCCTGCTGGCTCCTGCTGTGTGCTCTGCTGCTCATGTCTCTCCAAGGCCACCACACTGCTCGTCTATCCTGCTTCCTTAGGCCGTCTCCTGCGAGCGAGGAGCCAGGAAAAGAGAAAACCTCGCTAGTCACCCTTGGAGGATGTTGGGGAAACGCTTCCTTTAAAATTGGTGGTGACTAAAGGGATGAGCCTAGCACTTACCTCTCCTGTATGAACTGCGCCTCAGGGTCACTGTGAGCGAAGGTTCCCCTGTGCAGAAGCGTCCCAGCCCGTTAGTGAAGCGGGGATGAGATGAGCCGCCACCGTCTGGCTGCTGTCTTCAGGAATTAATGCGGAGGTGGGCGGTCAGTAAGCAGGGAGGCAGCCAGAGGTCGCCCACCTCCTGACGGAAGCACACCACACCACCTGGGAAGTAATCTTCCCAAAAGAGTCAGACGCAAGTCTAGATCTAGGTACAGAAGTTTACAGAAAATCCAGACAGCCGGAGCCCACAGGACAAGGGACCCGAGTTCTTTGACAAGTGAATGCCAACGTGTCTGCCCATCGCAACGAGCCAGCCTTATTTGGACCAATTCAGACTAACTGTTTAAGTGAAAATGAGACAGTTAGGGAGATTCGAGTCCTGACCGGCCATCTGTTGCTCTTGGCGAGCATGTTGGTGTGACAGTGGCGGCGTGCTTGTGCTGGGAAAGAAGCGCTGCGCCTTTGGAGGCGCAGGCTGGCGAGTAAGAAGTGACCATGGTCTGAGGTCTGCTTGGACAGTTCTTCGGGGGTGATTGGGGGAGACCAGTTCACCGTGAGCTGGGCACTCTTGGTACTGAGATGAGGGACACCTGGGGGTGTTATATTATTATCTCTATTTTTTTCGTATGTTGGAAATTTTCCATAATTAAAAACTTTCAAGATGGGAAAAAACAGATATTTAAAATGGCTCCTTTTCTGTTTGCAAGAATGGCAGCAGCGTTCGAGGGTTTGTGGGTGGCGTCTTGGGAAAGTGTTAGAAGCCACTTCCTCGTGTTGTTACACACCAGCGTCTTTGACTTGAGAGACCAGTGGTTGGATGCTGCCGGTGCGGACTCATTTGAATGAGTGCGTGGGGATGTTCTGGCTGCGCAGCCAGACTGCATCCGATTCATCTGCACGTGCTCCCCTGGTGTCCCTGCCGAGGGCTGGCCGCAGGCGCTGACAGCCCTGCTGTTCCAGCGCTGTCATCCGTCAGCGGGTTGCTTTATTAGGAGACCGCAGCCTCGGAGGCTGCGGAGCGATTTGCAAGTTCAGCAGAAATCAGTTCCCCGTGTTATCATCAGCGCTGGAGACACATCCGTCTCGTTGGCTGAAGTTCCGTTCTCTTCTCTGCCTTGACACAGGGGTGTCCTGTGCGTGGAGGGGCTTACTTGATGACCTGGAGGGGGGTGTGGACTGGTGGCCCACGTGGATTCGGGCCTGGGCTGGGGCCTGCGGGGCGTGGGGCTGCAGGGGGCCAGCCCAGCGCCCACCACGCTGAAGGCCGTGCTCCTGTGTTTCAGACTGGGCCGCTGCCGTCCGAGTCGCCGCCCTGGACTGTGCGGAGGAAAAGAACCACGAGGTGTGCCGAGCCTACGACATCCACTTCTACCCCACCTTCCGGGTGAGCGCCATCCTGCCCTCTCTGGGCAGGCTCCTTCCCCTGACCGCCTTGCCATCTGTGCCCACCTTAATTCTCGAGGGGCTTCTTTTAAGTTGAAATTCACCACATATGTAATTCCTACATTTTTAGCATTTTGGGCGTGCTTCTTGAAAGTTAGTAGGAATTTCTGTTTGCAAAGGGTCACTTTCTTCATTCCACCCTGTTGGGTGTGTAAGTCGCCATGGGACTGTACACGCACGCACACAGCCCCACTTATAGCCAGCAAGGTGACAGCCTGCATACCCAGTGGGTGTGGGAACGATCGGGAGGTGCTGTTGGGGCCCTGGTCTAAGGCCTCAATGCCCCTGTGTCTCCCACGCGTGTGGCCTGTGTGAGAATGGCCCCCCTCGGTGCTCCACACGTGTGGTGATCCGTCCGGTGCTGGTGTGACACCGGCCTGCTTGCTGGGTCTGCCCCTAAGAAAGGTTTGTACCCGTTTCTTCCACCAGGGGGCAGAGGGTAAACAGGGATCCGTGGATGGTCGGGAAGAACCACGTGAATGTCTGTCTGTGCTCGTGTGAGGTCACATGCCTTCACACGAGCGCCTCACGATGACATTTCCATCTCAGAAAGAACGCAGTGCCTCTGGAAGGCATCCCTTAGGAAGCTCTGCGACCCGTCCCCCCATCAGCCCTGGAATCCTGTGCTCCGTGTGGTGCAGCATCCATGCTCCCCACTCTCTGTTGAGCTGGGCCGTGACTGTCGCAAAGGCAGCTGTGCATCTGTCGCCTACACAGACCACGCACTCTGACCTGCCTGGTGGCCCAGCCCCACCAGAGGGACCCTCCCCTTGAGTCCTGCGTCACTTGTCCAAGAGTTTTATCACATCGAATGTATTCCTGTTCTACTTTGTTTTGACTGTAGGCACAGGGTGCTGTGCTGTGTGTAAGCCTGGGCCGTCTCTCTCACAGAACCACCAGCACCGTTGGGTGTGGCTGTGGCTTGTTGGTTTTAGTTGCCTAGTGATCTCCCCTTGTGTCACGGTAGCTCGGGTTCCTGTCCCCTCTCCCTGCTGGGCACCTGGGCTGCCCCAGGCTTTGGCGGCGTGAGCACTCTCACACGCGTCTCCTGTGTCCGTGGCAGGAGTTCCCTGTGGGCAGGGCCTGGACTGCAGCCGCTGGGCCGCAGGGCACACGAACCATCCCTGCTGACTGTGATAGTGACCACATCTTCTGTGTCTGTGGCCTGTGTGTCACCCCATCTGTGAAATGTCTCTTTGTGTTTGCCTGTTTTCCTCTTGGGCTGTTTGTGTTTTCTTATAGTTTACAGAACCCTTTGCATGTTCTCACCTCTTACCTTTCTTTCAGTCGTGAGTATTGGGAAAGTCTTCACCCAGTTTGTAACTGTCTTTAATATGTCTTTTCATGAAGAAAGTTTTTATTTTTTTTTTTATTTTTTAATGATTTTTTTTTTAATTTTTATTTATTTATTTTTTTCCCCCAAAGTCCCAGTAGATAGTTGTATGTCATAGTTGCACAGCCTTCTAGTTGCTGTATGCGGGACGCGGCCTCAGCATGGCCAGAGAAGCGGTGCGTCGGTGCGCCCCAGGATCCGAACTCGGGCCGCCAGCAGCAGAGCGCGCACACCTAACCGCTAAGCCACGGGGCCAGCCCCATGAAGAAAGTTTTTAATTTCAACATCAATCCTCCTGTTGTGCTCAGAGATCCTTGAGAGGGTCTGTCGTCCTCCCTGGAAGCCCTCCCTGTTGTGAGAGCTGACCATCAGGACGCATTTAGCACCAGCACAGGGAGGGCGCCGTCCTTGTGGTTCTAGCCTTGTTGAGTCAGAAAATGTAAATTACGGAATTCTGATTGGTACTAACCACCCACTCGTGAATCTGGTGGGAAACACGAATATCGCAGACACACATAGAAACGTGGCTCGTCATCAGTTACTCTAACCTTTCTGGAGGAAATGGACTGACGCTCTGTTTTTAAGATGATGGTCATTTTGTTGCTTAAAGATTAAACATTTACACAGACACCAGGCAAGGCTGTTTCTTATTTGTTCTGTGTTTTTCCTCTTAGTATTTTAAAGCATTTACAAAGGACTTTACAACTGGAGAAAATTTTAAAGGTAAGGACATAAGCATTATATTCTATGCTCCTAGATTCACCTCATAAACCTATTACAGTAAAAATGGTTTCAGGAGACTAGAAAACTCACTCAATGTGGTCTGTCCCCACCCCCAACTTCAGCATGTTTGCATCAGCACCGTCCTACCTGTCTTTCCTTTAAGAGTTCAAGCATTCATAGTTTCACCGAGAACTTTTTATTCTGTGCTTTGCCTTCTTTGGCAAATACAGTGGTGAATTTTCTTTTTTTAAGTAAAGTTTTTTATTGAAAAAAACATTTGGAGAAGTGCCCACATCACACGGGCACACCCGGTGAATTTTTAGGAACGAGCCCACCGGTGGCCAGTACACAGACGTCAGCCTGCGGGTGACAACTGTTCTTCATGCATCAGAGGTCGTTTGCCTGTTCCTGAACTTAGTGTAGATGGACTCGAAGCTTGTCTGGCCCCTTTGTCTCCACGCCGGGTGTGGCATTCATCCCCATCGCCGTGTGTCCCTGAATCCCATGCGTTCCCACCCTCCTGGCCGTGTCGTCTCCTGTTGTGTGAACCCACCACTGTCTGTACCGCGCACTGTTGACGACGTTGGCGCACCCTGCTGGGGTTCCCTGAGTGGGGCCGTGTGCCCGTGCTGGGCCCTCTGGGGCCCTCGGGGCGTGGGCGCTCAGCACAGCAGATGCGGCTGTGATCGTGGCGTGCTTCCCCGCAGGGCCCGACCGAGAGCTGCAAACGGTGAGACGAACGATGATCGATTTCCTGCAGAACCACACTGACAGAAACAGGCCTCCTGCCTGCCCATCTTTGGACCCTATTCGGTGCGTAGTTCTCGAAAAAAGTGGCACATTACAAGGTGAATTTAGTTTTGTAAAATATAGATTTGCCTGAATTGCTGTGGATTCTGGTCTGCGATGGCCAGCTCACTGTTCTTAAAAGCACTAAAAGCCTTTTTTCCTCTTAAAAGGCCCAGTGACGTTCTTTCCCTCCTTGACAACCGTGATGGCCGTTACGTGGCGGTTTTATTTGAAGGCAACAGCTCCTACGTTGGACGTGAGGTACTGTGTCTGCATCTTCTCCCAGCTGACCACGTGATGGGGTCCCTGTCGGGTCTGCAGTTAGGTTCCTGGGCAGCAGCAGCTGCTTCCACCTGACTTGTGTTCACGTGTTTTGTTAGTTCTCGTTAATTCTTGGAATTGTAGTTCGTGCTATTCAGCGAATTCACTGGTGTACAGAGGAGACTGAGAGTGGGGGTGCGCCCACAAGCGTAAAGCAGAAACAGGCCTGTGAGTGCGCCCTCATCCTCCGCGTGGGGCCGAGAGGGAGCACACAGGAGGCTCTCCGCGAGGCTGCTTTCTATTCTGCATTGCTAGCAATATTTTTTCTCTGCTGTGTTCTGAACTCTCCACTTTTTGCTGAGTCCAAGCTTCTGTAAGATGTTGTTTCTATCATGAAACTTTGTCCTGCTATCATTTCACGTGTGGGTCTGAAGCCTTTGCCTTTGGCAGAGTCTCAGTAGAATCCGGTACCAGATATGGGGACGGATGAGAGGAGTTCCCTGACTCCCAGGTCGTCTGCGAGTCGAGAGGAAACGGCTCCTCGGGGAACTGCGTCCTCAGCACTGGCTGCCGCTTTTGCCCCGTCACCCGTGAGCCTGGGGGCGAAGGCAGGAGGCACTGTGCTCCCGTGGGCCCTTTTGTTGATGCGTGCATAAGCAGGAGGCCGTGGATGTTAGCCATCTGACCATCTCGCTGCGTCGCCCCACACCCTCTGGGCTTGGTGGTGACATCGTGCCGCCTTCTCTGGCTGACCAGGATTCTCATTGGAGACCAGAGGAGCCACCAGCATCGGGATGCAGAGTTCTCGCATGACCCTCCCACTCTCCCAAGGCCGCCTCTCTCACTTGCGCTCTCGGGTGCTGCCCTCACGCACACAGGCCCCAGGAGGCTGCTCTGCAGCCGGGCTTGAGCGTGGTTGGCTCTAAGTTCACAAGAGTCCCAGTGGCTGCTGTGCCCGGGTGCCTGGTCCACACTTTCAGCAGACACCCCTATTCAGGACACGGCTGGTTCTGTTGCTTCTAAGAGAAGTCAAGAGAAGCAGGTTCTGCGCCTGATTATCTTGGTGGCGCACGTGGGGTTTGCGGGTCGTCTTTCACTCTGGTCTAGCTCCTGAGATGCCACTCCTGTGGGTCCTCTGCCACAGAGACCCCGTCACTGCACCTTCAGCCTAAACAGGACCAGACGGGCAGGTCCTGAGGGAAGGAACGGCCAGCCTGGAGCCTGCTGGTACTTCAGCTGGCTGACCAGGGCCCTGCTGCCGTCTAGGGTGCTGTTAGCCTCCCAGGTTCAGGGCACATACCGCCTGGTGCAGGACACATGCATCAAGAGGAAGCTCAGGGCTGGGGCGAGGCCCCACGTGGACACGTGGCAGTGAACGCACTTGCCTGATGACTGTCGGTTTTGTGGAGGATGTGCTGACTTAAAAGCACCATCAAGTTCATTGACACTCGTTTTCTTGGCTAGTCTGTACGACTACTACATGAGATTGTAGTTTCTGCCCATGGCCTGTGTCTCATTCATTTGCCTTAAAGTGCAATAAAAATTAAGCTATAAATGATGGCCTGGCTTATAGAGAAGACAAATGTAGATTTGTTCCGAATGATGGTATTTCTCGTTTCTGTAAGCGTGCTCCTTTGTCACCACACTAGTTGCTGAGAACACTGCTGTCCACCGAGCAGGTGACGTTATTTCTCGTTGTCCAGGTGATTTTGGACCTGATTCCATATGAGAACATCGTGGTGAAGAGAGCACTGAGTGTGGAGAAGGCCTTTCTGGAGAAACTTGGTGTTACCTCTGTTCCTTCATGTTACTTGATTTACCCAAATGGGTCACACGGATTAATTAACATGTAAGTGTGGTTGGGCTCAAGGAGTGTTTGTGACACCTGGTGGGATCCGGGAAACCTCTCCAGGTGTGGGGCTCCCCTGGGCTGGATATTGGTCCAGTCTGTGTGTCGGGGCAGCCCAGTGTGCTCCCTCCCTTGCTCCAGAATGAGAGGTGGGGCGGATGGGCTCTGGCTCCAGGCCCCTCACGTTCTGCTCTCCTTGCTAAGGCCAACAGAAACCGTCCGGATGCCGTTTGCCTCTGCATGGGGCGCAGACTAAAAAGTAGACAGCTTGGATTAAGATTGGGGGAAGCATAACAGATGAGGAGGTTAGGCGATGTCCTGAAGCCTGTGGTGTCTGCCCTGGTCCCATCTCTTTACAGTGGAGAAGGCCTGCCCTGCCCTGGTGGTCCCCATGTAGCCCACTGGCCTGGAGGCCTCATGCCAACACAGCATGTGTTTACCCAGCAGTTCTGGGGAGTCACCGTGTGCTGGGGACACAGCAGTGAGAAGACAGGACGAGTTTCCTCCCACCCCAGGATTCTGTTTCAGCTTCTGGAAAATTTAACTGGGCACTGAGGGTGCCCTACCCTGAAGCCTCAAACACGCCCCGTTCCTTAGGTATATTGCTGTTCTTAAAAAACAGATTGAGGGGCTGGCCCGGTGGGGCAGCAGTTAAGTGCTCGCGCTCCGCTTCGGTGGCCTGGGGTTCCCAGGTTCAGATCCCAGGCGCGCACCGATGCACTGCTTGTCAAGCCATATTGTGGAGGCGTCACATATAAAGTAGAGGAAGATGGGCACAGATGTTAGCCCAGGGCCAGTCTTCCTCGGCAAAAAGAGGAGGATTGGCATTGGATGTTAGCTCAGGGCTGACCTGCCCCCCCCCAAAAAAAAAAACACACAGACTGAGGGGCCGGCCCAGTGGCACAGCGGTTGGCACAGCGGTTAAGTACGCGCACTCTGCTTTGGTGGCCCTGGGTTCGCCGGTTTGGATCCTGGGCACGCACTGATGCGCCGCTTGTCAAGCCATGCTGTGGAGGCATCACATATAAAGTAGAGGAAGATGGGCATGGATGTTAGCCCAGGGCCAGTCTTCCTCAGCAAAAAGAGGAGGATTGGCATGGATGTTAGCTCAGGGCTGATCTTCCTCACAAAAAAAGGAAAAAACAAATCGACTTCAGGGTTAGCAAGGAGGTTTCTGGAGCTGGGCCCCCTGGTGTCACGCTCTGCGGTGAAGTTCGTTAGGGCGCTCGAAGCACCTGGCCAGCATACCGGGGCCCCCAGGCCTGTAGCCGAGGCGGCCATGGCACTCAACGGGGCTTCCCGGAACACACTGAGATTTTGTCTCGAAGAAAAATGCTTGTTTTATGTTAAAAGTGTCATCTGTACAACTTCTTATAAAACGATGTTGATGTCTTTACCAACAACACTGCCGTGTCCTCTCTTTGGGAATGAACATGAGCTCTGGATGCTTTTGATGACCCCGAGCTACACTGGGAGTGCGCTGTAACGGCCCTCACACACCCTCAGGGTGCGCCCCCCCATCCAGTTGAGGGGCCATCAGGATGCCCCCATCTCCTCCCCCGGCCCCGACTTCCAGATGTCCCACTCAGAGCTGGCTGGGTGATGGCTCTGAGGCATGTTCAAACCCACAGTTTGAATAAAACATACTGGCAGATGCTCAGATCAGCTTTACAAACCATCTTAGTGTCCCATGGACGAAAATGAGTCATAGTACTTACCACAGCTATAACTCAGGTGTTATTTGTGGGTTTGTCTCACCTTCTCAGGTAGAGGGCCAGCTCCCTGAGACCCGGGCTTTGCCGCCACCCCGCCCCCCTGCTCACATTACCTGTCATAAATGCCAAAGAATGAATGAGGGGGAGGTCTGAGTAACTCCCCTAAATTGTGGAGGGGGGCTGTTCTCAGCCTGCTGACGTGGGTGACGGGGTGACCCCTGCAGAGATGGCCTGGGCCCTGGAGCGGCTCTGAGCCCGCCTTGCCCTCCCCTTTCTCACAGTGGGAAGCCTCTCCGATCGTTCTTTTCCTCTTACTTGAAGTCGTTGCCGGATGTGAGGAAAAAATCACTTGCATTGCCTGAAAAACCACACGAAGACAGTTCTGCAGTTGTGGTTTGGAGAGAGTTTGACAGGCAAGTACTCCTCCTGGGCTCACACTGCCCCTGGGGAGCGACCGCGTGTGTGGCGTCCATGGGGCGGGATGTGGAGGGCTGCAGGCCTGGCTCGTTGGCAGGGTCGATTCATTCAGAACCCACCGCCGAACTGTTGGCCATTCAGGAATTATCGCTGTTGTCTCCCTGTGGGGAGTGGGGTCCCTCTGGGGTAGGAGTGAGAGGAGGGGTATTTACGTAAAGAGAAAGGTGGATTTTCACCTGACTTTGTAGTGTTTCATCTTAGGTCGAAACTGTACACGGCAGACCTCGAGTCGGGGCTGCACTACCTCCTGCGAGTGGAGCTGGCTGCCCACAAGTCCCTGGCCGGGGCCGAGCTGAAAACCCTCAAGGACTTTGTGACTGTCGCTGCCAAGGTGCGCGGGCTCCGGGCTGGGCTGGGGGCTCGGCTCCACAGAGCAGATGCTTGGGAGGTTTGCTCCCCCAGTGTGTGGGGAATTCGCCGACCTCAGTTAGCGGGTGTGCTCTCTCAGCTCTGGAGGCCTGCACTGGGATTCATTTGGCCACAGTTACAGATGCCTGCTGGGTGCCTGACCCTGTTCTGAGCCCTGTGCGGTGGGGAGGGCAGGGTGTTGAGCAGAAGGCTGAGATCTGGGCACCTATTGGGAAGGCCTGAGGTGCTGCTGTCCTCAGGTGAGGGGCAGGGACTGTCCAGGGGCGGCACGGGGTTGGAAGGAGCTTGACTTGGCGTGGTGTGACGGGGGCACGTGCCAATGGTCGTGGGTGACTGTGAGTGGAGGAGGAGAGGTGCGTCTGGGCGGGGGGTTGGAGGAGAGATGCTGGACAGACAGCTCCCTCAGGGAGGGTGCAGGGGGTGTTAGGGAGGGTGATAGCCATCGTTGTCCGCTGGAATCTGTCATGTTAGACAGGAGCTCGTGGGTGGGCCGGGCTGGCACTTCCACCCTGAGCAGTAGAGGGAGCAGGTGGATGGCTTGAGTGTTAGCTAAAGTTTAGAGATGAGAGGCTGTCAGGGTCACATTCCCGCCAAGAACTCTTGGCTCCGGGGCTAATATTCCATGGCGTATTGTCTTTTTCTTGGCCCAGGATTCTTATCTTGGGCAGAGCAGCAGGAAGCAGGAGGTCATCCCTCTTCCCTGGGGATGGACCTGACCCCTTGTCTTGTTGGCCCTAGCAGGCCTGTCTGGACCCGGCCGTGGCCCTTCTGCTTTCTGACCTCTGGGATAGCCCAGCCCCCAGTCCTGCCCCCACCCTGTCAGTCACAGTGGCCTGGGAACCGGGCCCTTTGCTCCTGCTGCTGGCCACAGGAGAAATATTTGCTTTAGTGGCCTCGGTCATAACGCTGAGACCTGAATTACTTGTTATCTAAGAGATGAGGAGGCTTAATTAAAAGATTTCTCTTGGGCCAGCCCGGTAGTGTAGTGGGTAAGTTCACGCACTCTGCTCCGGCGGCCCATCGTTTGCATGTTTGGATCCTGGGTGCAGACCTACGCACTGCTCATCAAGCCACGCTGTGGCAGCGTCCCATATACAAAATAGAGGAAGACGGGCACAGATGTTAGCTCAGGGCCAATCTTCCTCAGGAAAAAAAGAAGGATTTCTCTTGCCAAATGAAAGGTCCCTCATACAATAATTCACTTTCAGCACTGTGGATAGTCAGAGTTTACTTATATAGTAGGATTTTTTAAGAAAATGAAGGAGATAGAATTAATGTTTAAAGGAATGAGTCTCGTGATATATTTCAAATGAAGAGATGAAAATCATCTAGACGGGTTTTTACCCCCTCATGCTGTCAGAGTTCAGAAATCTCCAGCTGTCCTCATTCCTTTAAGAAAGTGCCTGCTAGGGGCCGGCCGGGTGGCACAAGCGGTTAAGTGCTTGCGCTCCGCTGCGGCGGCCCGGGGTTCGCTGGTTCAGAACCCCGGGCGCGCACCAACACACTGCTTGGCAAACCATGCTGTGGCCGTGTCCCATATAAAGTGGAGGAAGGTGGGCACGGATGTTAGCCCGGGGCCAGTCTTCCTCAGCAAAAACAGGAGGATTGGCAGATATTAGCACAGGACTGTTCTCCTCACAAAAAACAAAAAAGAAAGAAAGTGCCTGCTAATCTGTCCCTCGTGTGATCCCCCGGGCTGCGCTCGAGTCTCCAGCTGAGAGTAGATGAGAGCTGCCCTCCGCGGAGGAGCTCTCTCTCTCCTTTACCCTCATTTCGGTTAGGGTAACAATGCGGTTGTACACACGTGCTGCAAAGCTCTGTGAGTCCGGATGACTTCATAATTTGTCTAAAGTTTACTTAAACTTTAAATCAAATGCTGGTAAAAATAAATGCTGGTAGGTTTAGTGGTAATTTGTAATCTGTGTAGGGAAGAAAAGACGTTATAGGATTGAAAACGTGATGGTTCTGCTCTGTTTATTTTAGTATCGTGATTAGTGAGGCTTTGGCTCAGGTTTTTGGAAGCTTTTTCGGCAGCCTTCATTTTGCACACTTAATAGGCAACACCTAATTGAAGTTCCTGCCAGAAGGGCCACGGTACCTCGGGATCACTGAGCTCGATGCTTGTCCGGGCTGCTGCTGCGCGGCCAGCTGCATAGCTAGCACAGCACGAGTGTCCACAGTCAGTGAGCCAGCAGGTCGCCCCTTTCTGCATAAAATCCTCAGTAGTGTGCACACCTTTTCCTAGTAGTTACGCAGCCAGAGACAGGCAGGAGGCGGAGGGCGAGAGTGTGCAGCAGGCAGATTAGCATAAATTACCATGAGGAACACGGAATAAGTAAGTAGGCAGTGATTTCAGAAAGGACCACAATGCCCTTGACAGCATGATAAATAAGGCACAGTGTGGCGTGTCCTCTGTCACTGTGAAGTGGCTACCTGGCGTGGGGACAGGCAGCCATCGGCACGGTGCTGAGCGGGTGGGCGAGACGCCGAAGAAAGAGGCTGGAGGAAGGGGCTCTGGCTCAAGTTCCTGGAAGGGTTGGCCAGAAGCCCACCCTGCAGCCAGCACCTCAAGTACCCCTCTGTCTTCTGGAGAAATTCCAGTTCCTCCAGAGACGCCCCCCCCCCCACCCCCCAGGTTAAGGCCCTGGATGGATGGGAGACATTTCTTCCCACCAGCCCTGGTGGTCGGTGTCAGGGTGGGGCCTGGTCTCGGTCCCGGGGACGGCTGCGCTGTGAGTGACACTTGGCCTGAATGGTCTCTGATGTGGTCCTTCCTCGCTCAGCTGTTCCCCGGCCGGCCGCCAGTGAGGAAGCTGTTGGAGACGCTGCAGGAGTGGCTGGCCAACCTCCCCCTGGACAGGATCCCCTACAATGCCGTCGTCGACCTGGTCAACAACAAAATGCGGGTGAGCCAGCCCCTCCTGCTCTCATTGTCCTCTGTAACTGACCTGCTGGGCCCCGACGCAGCACGTGGGGAGAGGAAACTGTGAGTGCGTGTGGACCTGCCTCCTGGCCCAACAGCGTGGCAGACACCTTCATGCCCGCAGCCTCACGGGCCCTCGTTACCCTCCACGTGATGGCCCAGCAATTTTCAGCGTCCCCATTTCCATGACGACTTCACATCCGCTCCCTCCTCTGTAGTGCTGTCACCATCATACTGAAGCCCTCAATTTCAGCACAGTTGAGCAGAAACGAGCTGTGACAACCGTCCTACAGAGAGAATAGGTGGTTTTCTCAAGCATTCTAGCACTGTAGGGCTTTTTTTTTATTATTTAAATTTTTAGGGGCCAGCCTGGGGGCGTGGTGGTTAAGTTCTCATTTGGAGGCCCTGGGTTCGCAGGTTCGGATCCCGGTCGTGGACCAAGGCACCACTTGTCAAGCCGTGCTGTGGCGGGGTCCCATATAAAGTAGAGGAAGATGGGCGCAGATGTTAGCCCAGGGCCGGTCTTCCTTAACAAGAAGAGGAGGGTTGGCAACGGATGTTAGCTCAGGGCTGATCTTCCTCACAAAAAATAAATTTAAAAAATAAATAAATAAAAAAATAAAGTCTACAGTTCACTCTTTAAAAAAAAAAAAATTTTTTTTTAGTAAACTCAGCTAAATTTTACACCTAAAAAGCTAATAATGTGTTCAATAAGAAGTGTGGGAGCCCTGCTGGGGCTGCCACAGGCTGGGTGCTGGCAGGGGAGGGCCTCAGAGCTCCTTCCTCCGGCCGGCTCGGTGGCGCCTGTGGCCACCCGGAGAGTTTACTCACCAGAAGTAAACCGGCGTCACGCTCGTCGAGACGTTGGCACAGTCAGCGCTCGCCGTCTCGCAGGGGCACGGCGGGCTGTTGTGCTGTGCTCTCATGGCCTCGTTGCTGTCTGCCTCGGAGAAACGAGTGGTGGGGGGTTCTTGCCTTGGTCTTCTCCACCGCCAGTCCGAGCTTGAGGTCGTCACAGCGTCCTCCAGCACAGGGCCCACGTGGGAGCACGTGGACCGGGCTCAGAGCGGGGAGGGTGCCGGGATAGAGCACGTCAGACCCAACTGTGGGTAGCCCTTCGATGGTCAGCCCGCCGGGGGCTCCCAGAGCGGCCGGGACGGCTCATCGAAGTGTTCGTGACCCCGAGCGCTCAGGGCCTTGGTTCCTGAGCTGTGAGCACTGTGTGCGGCCCTGAGCTTGCTGCTTGTCAAATGAAGGTCATTACTCATTCTGGCTGAGAAGCGTTTGGCAATTGAAATTTTTAAATTTTTATTTCTATTTCATTGGTCTTCTCCTATGAATTTCATTATAACTGATCCTAATTTAAGAGAAAAGGTGGGTGTTCTTGTGTTTCCTAGTGCTAATTTCTCAAGATACAGACAAACTCTTCCCTTCTCCCCAAACACTGGAAAGAACAGGCTACATTCCCGTATTTTGAGAACGCCTGTAGTAAAATAGACTTTTTCTTCTCGTTTGTTTGGTATTGAATTTTAAATTTACTGGTCAATTGTCCAGCTGCAAATTTTGATAAACGCCCAGGGTCACCACCACCCAGTGAAGATAGAGGACCTTCACCAACTGTTTTTAATTTTAACAGTTCAATTCTCTCTTACTTTTTCCTTTTTTTTTTTTTTTTAGATTTCTGGACTATTCCTTCCTAGTCACATAAAGTGGGTTGGATGTCAGGGGAGCCGACCAGAGTTGAGGGGTTACACGTGTTCGCTCTGGAAGTTGTTCCACACTCTGACTGTGGAGGCTGGGGCCCACCCAGAGGCGCTGGACGACACAGGTAACCCATCCTGCGTGGTGGGGCGCCGTTAGTCCACGGGACACGCTTACACGGGAGCCTCCAGGTGCTGTCAGAAGCACACGTGCAGGCTTGTTGTGCTGTGTGTGAGGCAGCATGTCGTGAGGGTGCCCCTGGGGAGCTGAGGAGCGTAGAGTGAGCATCTCTTCAGGAGTCTGTGGGCCCTGCACGGGCGCTGGATGCTGGAGTGTGAGTGCCCACCTCCCTGAGTGAGAAGTGTGCACGGCTGAGCTGCAGGAAATAAATCATAGGGAGGAATGAGGACACTGGCCAAGAGTTCCTCTGCAGTGTATGCGCTTCTTTATTTTGCTTTAAAAAACATGAGAATAAGTGAAACATATTTGGAGAGGAGTATTAGTATCTATTGTTGGGTAACAAATCACTCTAAAACTTAGGAGCTTACAACAACGCACATGGATGTCTCACGGTGCGTGTGGGTTGGGAGCTCAGATGTGGCTTAACAGGGTCCTCTGCTTCGGGCTCTGGCGAGCCTCAGGCAAGGCGTTGGCCAGGGCTGGGCCTCATCTGAAGGCTGGACTGGAAAGAGTGCCCCCCCGTGTTCACTCTCAAGGTGGCGGCTGGATCCCGGCCCTTGTTGGCTGTTGGCCAGAGGCCAGCCTCAGTGCCTCACCCTGTGGCCTCGCCATGGGAGGCTCGCACCACAGCAGCCCACTCCACTGGAGCAAGCGAGTGAGGGGCGTCCTTCTGAGTGTGAGGCCTGGCGTTGGCAGTGAGCCCAGACTGCTCACAGAGGGAGGGGGACCACGGGGCTGTCTCAGGCTGCCTGCTGCAAGAGGTTAGAACTACAGAACTGTGAGCTGGGTTTCATCATTTCAGTTATCAGGACATAGCGCAATCAGCATTGTCATGTTTTATTTCCTGCACGAGTCACTAAGAAAGTGTTGGGTTTGTATCCACTTGGGCTGTGCACAGTTGAAGCAGGCCCCTGCAGCCTCGGGAAGAATGGCTTATCTTGTACTTGTTTTTAGCTCATTCAGGGTCACTAATGTTTGTATTAAGTCGAAAGTGGAGTGTTTTGACTCACACACATCAATATTCTTTCTAGTAAAATTGTAAAATTCTCACACAGTTCTCTTTTACGGTGTAACAAACTACTCCAAAATGCTGTGGCTCAGAACAGCCGCCACCGGACATGCTCACGGTTCTGGGGCTCAGCTGGGTGGCTCTTCTGTCTGCCCCGGGAGGCTCGCTCGTGTGGCCACAGCCAATTGGTCTAGACTCCCAGGTCAGACTCTGCAGGCCGCCCTCTTCTCCCCTACCCCCCGGGGGCAACACCACAGTCAGGAAGGACCTCTCGAGGCCCCAGCTGGGGCGAGGGGCACATGGCATCACTCCCACTGTGTCCTGTTGGTCATGTAGGTCTCGTCCAGCCCAGATTCATGGTGGGGAAATAGAGTCCACCTGTCCAAAGCGGCAAAGCCACATTTCAAAAGAGGCGTGTGGCTGTCCTGGGGACTCCTCCCTACCCGGCTCTCCTTAAGGGGACCTTGGCTTTCTGCTTCCCAGGGGTCCTGTTGGGGGAGGGGGGCTCTGACCCACAAGTTACTTTAAGAATCATGCAGAAAAAACAGCAGTGTGTTTTTCAGGAGAAACGTCAGAGCTCCCAAACAGACAGTGAAACCAGAACATTGACACTGCCTGATTTAACGCAAACCAGGCCATCAGAACCCACTTCTCAAACATGAGCCCCAGTTACGGAAACCTGGTGTTTCCCGGGGGGTTCTGCTGAGGGAAGGACGAGCACTTGAAGGGCATTACGGTGGCAGCCAGGGAAGGAGGTGGTGACCAGGGTGTTCTATGAAGATGTGACAGAACTGACGCCAGTCTCGTGAGGTCATAAAGGCAGCAGGATGATAAAGCACACACAAAGATCTTCAGCATTCTTTCCCTTTATCGGCGTAAATTGAAGCAATATCCGAGGAGTACGTCTCCTGCCAAAAGAATTGGGTCAGGCCGAGGCCGCCGGATTATGTCTTGGAAGGTTTTCCTCTCCTTACGGCGTGTTTAAACCCCATCGGCTAAAAAGCCTGCCGCGTCCTCTAATCCCCACAGGTAGACGTTTATGCTTCTTGTCCACTTTAAAGATTAGGGTGGCCCCGAGTGTGCCTCGGTTTGGTGGGGAACCAGAAAAGGAGGATTACCCAGTGATGCGTGGCAGATGTCAGCCCAAGATCTGCCGGCTGGCGAGAGGGGGCAGACGAGCCGTGTTGAGGGGCCAGGGGCCCAGCCAGCAGCGTGTGCTTAGGCTGTGTGTGCTGGCTCCCACCCTGGGCGCCGCCCGGCTGCCCTTGAACACACTCAGGGCCGAGGAGAAGCTGGCGGTCCTCAGTCTGGGCCTTCCGTGAGGAAATGAACGAGGGCCACCAAGGTTAATGACGGATGCGGAAAGTTCGCCCAGGGCTCTGGCTCCAGGGCCTATGGAGGGAGCATTGCCCTCGGGAGGAAAACCCCGAGAAGCCTCGGGCCATGCTGTGTGAAGAGAGATCACTGGGGAGGCCTGCTGCTGATTAAGACGGATTCAGTCTCAAAAGCACGTCTTCTTTTTTCCAATTATCTTGCTGCATTTCTTTTAATGCCAACATTTAATCTGTTTTAATCTCTTGGTCTCTTGTCTGTACGCTCAATCCCTCGTATTAGTTGTCTGAACGGGGCGCTGGGGTCGTGTCAGTGTGACGCTGGCTGCTTCCTTCTGCTGTCGGGGGATGGCCTCCTTGAAATTCGGTGTGGGACTCGTTCGCAGTGTCTTCGCAGGCACCCATGTCCCGTTAGCAGTGCGTCTGTGTACGGGGGTGGAGACTGTCTGTGTGCTGGTAGGTGCTGGAGATCTCCTCACATGGAGAGGTTTAGCCTTTTAAAAAAGAGTGCGGGCCCTCACCTGGCGGTCCGTGACTCTTGCTGCCCCGACGCTGCCCCCTCTCATGAAAGATCATCCACAGCAGGGGGGCTGGCAGCAAGCCCGAGGCACTTCCTAAGGCATGTTCACACTTGGGCTTGTGTTTTGCAAGGATTTCAAAACCAAACATCTGCAAGTTCAGAATGAGTAGCCACCGCTGCCCCGGCACCAGCCTGTGGGGGTGGCTTGGGCCCCAGAAACTGCGTCCAGGAGGCGGCCCCCAGGCACAGCCCTTGCTTCCTAGGTCGTGCGGCCGAGGGCTGAGACGGTGGAGGGCTGGGCGAAGGTGCAGTTCCTCCCTCTGAGGGCTCCTTGGGGTTGTGGCATCTTGGAGCCCACTGCTCTTTGTCCTGGCTATCAGCGCGTGTTCTGGGGCACGTCCTGCGCTGGACACAGGTGACGTGCCTACTCTTCGAGGTGTGCGTGTTTGGCACAGTATTGTGAGAGTGAGCGGGCACCTTCTGGTTGCAATAGGCGTCTGGGGAGGTGTTGGTTCCTTCCCATGTCCCTGTGCAGACAGGCGGGGCTGTCCCCTGTCCCAGGTCAGGCACTCACCGCGTTCCTGGCTCCCTGGCTCCACTGTGGTTCTAGTGGAGACAGGCTCACGCAAAGGTGTTGGTTCCCTCCGCAGGGTTTGAAGACGACCCCCAGGCAGTGCTGCAGACCATCAGGAGGTACATTCACACCTTCTTTGGCTGTAAGGAATGTGGTGAGCATTTTGAGGAAATGGCTAAAGAATCCATGGATTCTGTGAAAACCCCAGACCAAGCAATTCTCTGGCTGTGGAAGAAACATAACCTGGTAAACAACCGCCTGGCAGGTGAGCAGAAGCCACACTGGGTGGCGGGAGCCTGGGTGCTGAGGGGCCAGACAGTGATTGAGGCCGTGTGGGCGGGCGGCCCTGTCACCGTGTCCTGCGGGCAGTGGGGATGGCATGGGCTAGGCGATGGTGTCTGAGCTTTGCCGCCATGCTGCCTGCCCACTGTGCCCAGGCTTCCTGCACACACCCGGCTCACGGCCAGGCCTCTGCCCTGGTCAGACTTTAGTACCACGGCGACCTTGGCGGAGGGCTGCCATAGACAGCAGCCGTTCCCGGCTGCAGTGTCCCTGGGTTTCCAGATTGTTCTGTCTCTTCAGGGCTCCTGGGCGGCGTGGGAATTGATGTGCGTCCTTCTCCCCTCACACCCTCAGGTGGCCCACTAGGCCCCTGAGTAAATTTGACGCTGGAAAACTAGAAATACAATTAATTTTCAGTCAGGAATTTTAGTGTCGTTACAATCTGCTCTCAGACTATAAACCAAACCCCTCAAAGTGGTTTTATTTAAAAAAACTAAATAAGGTGCATATATTTTCTCAGAGTTAAGTAATTCAAACTGTTCCTAAATCAGTGGCAGATTAAAATTAGGCTTAAAAATAATTCCACTAAGAAATAAATCTTAGTAGAGATGAATAGAAAATGCCACTAAACTATTGGTTTTTATTTAATCCACTGTATTATAAAAACATATTACCACTGAAGCACTAAAGGAAATTGGTTTTTCTTTGCATGAGAGCCGACTGCCGGGGCTTGGGTCATGTGACAGTGGCACCTTTTCTGTCTGCCGGGACTTGTCCATCTCGGTCGGCTTGGTTTAAGATGCTTCGCTGTGACCCGTCCAGAGACTTCTCCCTCCCCCTGTCCCCCGCCTCCCTCGCTCCTCACAGAGGTCCACCTGGCTGTCCCAGCCGCACTCAGCTCGGAGGCAGCCGGATGAGACTCCAGCCAGGCCTGCCCCTTTCTGGAGCCCTGTGTGCCCCTGCCCCTGGCCTGCGTGGGCCCTGGGTCGCTATGCTGCAGCCCATGGAATTGTGTCAGTCCTTAGAGTCCATACGTCCTCCAGCCCATCCCCAGCCTCTGGATGGAGGCTCAGACTCCTCAGAGGCCCCGAGACCTGACCTGGGCCTCCCTGTCCAGTGTTAGCTCCTGACTCCATGCTCTTCCTTCGTCTCCGTGTGAGAGGATCCAAACCCCCCGCTGGATGCCAGCCGGAGGGCAGTGCTGGGGCAGTGCTGGTCCGCGTCGCCCTCCCGGCTCCGTGCGCAGTGCCGGGCCTGTAGTAAGCAGAGCAGGAGAGATGCTCGCTTGTGAATGGGCCGGAGTAGACCGTCTCCACTGGTTTCAGGCACCTCGGAGGCCCACCGACAAAGTGACTTCTTTTTTGCTTTCTTTGAGAAGCACTTTGAGAGGGCCAGATGTCCCCAGGTCAGGTCGGGAAGATCTGGGGGCTGAGACGGGCCCTGTGCTGCACTTCCTGTGCGGCGGGCCTGTGTGCTCCTTGTGTCCTCGGCAGAGGCCCTGCGCTGGGTGGTCACTGCTCACTGGGGAAAGGCAGGAACTGAGGGCTGCAAGCTTGGGTGCAGGCTGGCTGTATGGCCCTGCCCGCCCCCAGGCCTGCACACGGACGGGTGCCGATTGCACCAGGCGCTCCCTGGGGCGGTGCTCCGTCAGTCCGTATGGATCAGAGGAGAGAGTGATTGAACAGGGGCGAGGGGATAGGAAAGGGGTAAATTATGGTCTCTTGTGTGTGGCTGAGGGGAGTGAAGTGAACTGCCTTTGTGAAGAGTCAGTGAGCGGTAAGTATCAAAAACCTTGAAAATGTGGATACTTTTTGAATCAAATTCCACTTTTAGAAGTTATCAGGCAGTATGCAAAGCTGACGTCCATTGCACAACTGTGTACCTGCCCGTCCACAGGGGACTGACTGGATAGACCGTGGTAACCAGTGCTGGGTGCCGTACGGTTGTCAGGAATACTGAGGCAGGTCTGTTACTGCTGGTGGAAGGGCAAATCCAGTTACGCCTGTGTGTGTGGTATGGTCCATTTTGTACAGAGACGAGCACACGTCTGCACGTGCAGGACAGGCTGGGACGGACCCAGCTCAGCGCTGCGACCTCCGGGACAGCATGGGGAGCCGGCTGCGTGTCCTGTACCTCAGTAGTTCTTAGCTTTTCCTGAAGTGGACAAGTCTCACTCCCGGAATATTTCTTAGAGATCCTTAAAGGGTGTTTAGGGTCTGGAAGGGGCCAGCACAGGCATTGTGTACCCGAAGTGCTGTGGAAACAGCTGGATGGCGAGTGTCCAGGGGCAGGTACCCCTGGGGGCTTTGGTGGGCCGTGGGCCTCAGATGCACCTTTAGGGAAGGAGGATGGGGTGCACCTTGAGCAGGGGCCTCAGGGTGAAAGGTACAGTGGTAAGAACCTGGCATGGCCCATTTTGGAAGCAAAGTAGCTGGGTGGATTGGAGCAGGGTTTGGCCAGGAGAGTGGCAGTGTCCGAGTACAGACACTTCCTCTGCTGGGGGCACAGGAACCCGCCAGAGGTGGAAGGGAAGACGCGACATTTATGTGGGGTGCTTTAGGGAAAAGGGCTGGCAGCTGTGCAGGAAAGGTGGGAGTGAGGGGAGAGGGAATAGGGCATTGTCTAGACCCCCTGGGAGGTTGCCGCGGGGGTGAGTGGAGGGGACAGGTGGTAGGCGGGCTGGAGTACTGGGAGCAGCCGCGGGGGGCCATGGTGCGCCCACTGTCTTGTCTTGTCACTGAAAGGCCTCTCCATGTTGCTCTCCCTCCTCCTCTTCCTCCCAGGCCATCTGAGTGAGGACCCCCAGTTTCCAAAGGTTCCTTGGCCTACTCCGGACCTCTGTCCACCCTGCCACGAGGAAATTAAGGGCCTGGACAGCTGGAACGAAGGTCAGGTGCTCCTGTTCTTGAAGCGGCACTACGGCAGCGACAACCTTGTAGACACATATTCCGCGGACCTGGGAGATGCCAGCGAAGGAGGTCCCCCGGCCGAGGGCCAGGATGGGGAGAGGGGCCGCCCTTCCCCAGAGAAGCCGCATAGAGACCAGGCCAAGAGTCTCCATCCGCCCAGCGCGCAGCCTCCCCGACCTCGCCGGTCAGAGGGGTTGCACCAAGGACTGGACCTGAAACTCGAGAGTCTGAACGGGGCCGCGGGCCGCAGGGAGGCGGGGGCAGCCATGCCCTTTCTCGGGCTGGGCTTCTCCAGCCTGGACATGAGCCTCTGCGTCGTGCTCTATGTGGCCTCCTCCCTGTTTCTCATGGTGATGTACTTTTTCTTCCGAGTGCGGTCCAAGCGGTGGAAAGTCAGGCATCACCACCCGTCCGTGTAGAACTTAGCAAGACCGTGGAAGCGCCTCTGGGAAAACAGCCCCCCCACGCCACCTGCTGCTTTACTGTTCAACATCAGGGATTTTATAAACACCTTGGGCCTGGTTTCACATCAGATGGCACCTTCGGCGAGTCCTCGTTTTACAGACGCTCTCCCTGCAAGGGGCAGGCCGGCGTGTGTGGTGGGACTGCTCATTGCTGGCATACTCAGTGGACGCCTTGTACAGAGCCTATGGCAGAAAGAATTCTATATTTTTATTCTCTTAGGTCTAACAGTGGGGTGGGGAGTCCGGGCCAATGAACAGAACTCTTCCCACCCACTTTCATCTGGAGTTTACTGGACCACGTGTCTTGTTCCACTAGGCCGTGTTTGGGGATTTGGAGAAGAACCAAGCCCTTCCCTCCGGGAGGCTGCTGGGCGATGTAATGTAGCCGCAGACCCGGCGCAGAGCCGGCGCAGGGCCTCTCCAGACGCCTCCCTGCGGGCTGCTCCTTGAAGCCAGTCTGGTCCTCAGTGGTGCGTCTGTGCTTTTCAGCTGCTTGGTTGTTGCTGCTGAAGCAAGAGATCGCCTCAGTGGTGCTGAGGCAGCTCCGAGCCGGAGGGGACCCGTCGGGGGTCTCCGTGCCCTGCCGCAGCTTTCGCTGCAGACGCGGAGCGGGAGGGGGACGGGGAGGGAGGCACTGACAGGTTTGTGGCTTGGCTGCATTTCAAAAATAACTCCAGAGGCCTTGTGGAGTGGACAGGGCAGTGGCCCGTTTGATTCTTCATAGGCACCCTTTTGTTTGTGAGTCTGGCGACGAGAGAAGTGAGTGAGGGCCGCCCTGGTCTGTCTGTCCTCCGAGGCCTGAAAGCAGAGCTGCGTCCTGGGAGGGGTGTGAGGGGTGGTCTCCTCTCTCAGGCCGGAGTCTCCAGGGGGCTCTCTGAAGGAGCTCTTCGTCCAGCACCTGCAAGGCCCGCTGTTGAACTAAACAGAGTTAAGAACAGGGGGTAGCCGGGTGGTCCCGCTGGTGCCTTTAAGGCCAAACTTCGTTTGCCTAGAGCTGTTTTATGGTGGGTTCTGGCACAGGGCCCTGGACCTCCGGACTTTGGTGATTAATTTTTTTACCATTTAATGATTTCAACACAGTATTTGTAAACCCAAAACATTCAGAGGTAAATTTGCCTCTGAAGATGTAAACAAAACTAACAGTGCCTGGGAACCTTTCCATGAGATCCGTCACGGCCATTGGTTTATCTCGCAGGTGCGGGTGTGTGCATGTATGTGTGTGTCACTGTGATGGTTGTAAGTCGTTTTTTCTGCTTTGCCCATCTTATACTCATGTGTTTACTAATCACGGTGGCTGGCGTGGGGTGTTTATAAGACCACTGTAGTACTGTTGCAGTTTGGGGAAATGGATAGCTGGTCCCCCGGACAACTGGCGTTAGCGCCTTCAGGGAAGGAGCGGCGGAGGAGGGCAGCGGAGCCCTGCGGGCGTGGTCTGGAGGCCTCTGGCCAGGAAGCCACTCCAAGCCACTGCTTCCCCACTCTGCCCCGAGAGAGGAGGTTCCTTCTTGTCTGACACTTTTTTAACCCCCAGAAGCCTCTGTGTTTTAAAACCCATGAGCTGGTCCTCATAGCTCGCTGTGTGCCTGGGTCATTGAAGACACCATGTTGTTTCTTTTCAACTTGAAAACCAGGCAGATTTACACACGGAATCCAAAGGGAAATACTTAGAACCATCAACTAAACTGCCTTCTGGTGTGTGTGGAACATCTTTTCTCCCCTTCAGTGAGTTTCTGTCGCTGGAGTGACCCGGACGATGTTGCAGTGCGCCATCGTGTGTGGTGACCTGTGCCAGGCCCCTCGGAAGCACAGGGTCGGCTCCCCGGTTCACACTGACCCTGCCGTTGGAGGTCACCACTGTTTGAGGACCAGTTTACGACTTCCGAGGGGCAAGGTTCTCAGCAGACAGAGTGGTCAGGGAGAGGGGTGTGCCCAGGTGGCTGCAGGGAGTGTATCTCTGTGCGGGTGTGAACACAGCCTTGCACATCTCCCGGGGCCCGCTCAGGAGTGGACCCACTTTTAGGCTAGGTTTAAGGTCTGTTTTCTAAAGTTGTAAGTATTGAGACTAATGAATAAATAGTTCGGTAATTTAAATGTGTATTTATTTTTAATGGAAGGACTTTGATTAAAAAGAAGCTAATTGACTTGGTGATGTCAGTGAAATTTCTTACCTGCCAGGAAAGTTTTGTATTTAAGTCAACTATAATGTACATGTTTTAAAAATAAAGAAATCTGACATTTGAAAAAATTGTCATGCGTCTGACACGTGAACTGGCTCACCAGTGGTGGTCCGGGTGTCGGGTGGGTGTGCAGATGGAGCCTTCTTTCCCCTCTAGAGTTCATGGAATGGACACCTGAAATTCTAGAATTTCTTGTTTTGAACTGAGGCTTTTTGGAGATGGCCCAGGGGTCGGGTGGAGTGAGAGATGGGAAATCAGTGGTCGATTATTTTCTTGGGGCTGGTCTGGACTGAGTGCCCTTCATCTCACACGGTGGAGGGAGTAGGAGTGGTGACAGGTGGCAGGAACTGCCCCAGAGGCGCCTGGTGAAGGGAGCGCCCACCCACCCAGTTCCAGACTGCGGCTCACACTGGCCCCCTGCTGCCCGGGCCTGAGTGCCCCAGCGTCGCTGGCAGGCTTTGCCCGGACACCTGTTTGCTGCCTCAGCCTCTGAACGATTTGATTTCTTCTGTCCCCAGTTTTGTCCTGTGGTGGGAAGGTCTCCAGTAGCCACGTACGGACTTCAGGGGAGACCTGCTGGCTGTGGTTCCTGTGGATCCACCTTCCCAGCCAGGCTGGACGGTTACGCCGTCCCTGGCTTTGCCCAGGTCCCTCCCTCAGGGCAGCCCCTGATCTGGCACCCTGTCAGGGCACTGAGTGACCAGTGGGTACCCTGCCCGCCAGCCCGGGTCTGTGTGGTACTGGTGTTGGTGTAGACCCACCATCCGGTAACGGGTTACAGCCGAGTCTTGGAGCTCGTGGCCCTTGAGTCCTGAGTAGTTTCTGTTGGGGACGCCCCAGGTGCCCTTCCTCCTGGCTGCCCTGGGGGTGGGGCTGTGGCCTGAAATCTGGGAGAGGTTGAGTGTTGGAGAGGTTGTGAGTCCAGAAAGTTCCTCAGCCCAGCAGCAACAGTTGAACGCCTCTGAACTGCACCTGGAGCCAAGGCCTCAGTGGGGACCTGGGCTGGAGGCCAGTGGGGCTGGAGGGGCCACCCTGGGCCCGTGGCCTGGACTCTCCCCTCCAGAAGGCTGTGAGCAGGAACGGCAAGGTGGAGCACCCGCTTGCAGCGAATCCCCACGCCTTCCAACGGCCTGGAGCTCAGGGTGGAGCTGCGCCTGGTGAGCCAGCGGGGGGTGGGGGGTGGGGTGAGGAGGCGGGCGGAGGGACAGGGGACCTGGGGAGGGGGGAGGGGGTGGCGGGCTGGGGGAACAGAGGGCGGTGGTTAAGGTCGGGGGAGGTGGGGAGCTGCGTGCCGCCTTCAGCACCGTGGACAGCACCAAGCCCAGAGGCTCCCGAGTCTGGCGAGGCCGTGCGCACAGGGACGCGGGCGGTGCGACGGGCCTCGGGGAGCTCCAAGCCCTGCCAGGGGTCGAAGAGGAAGAGGGAGGAGCGCCCGGAAAAACTCAGCCCCAGCCCTGGCCTGGCACCACGATGCTGCTGAAAACAGAGCTCCAGCGTGACCGAGATGGGCCTGGGGCCCCGGCGGCCGCTGCCGTCTGCACCTTCGGCGGGACTCGGGGTAAGAGCCCTGGCACCCTGTTGCCTCCAGCCCGGGCAGGAGGGCCCCAAGGGGAGGAACGGCCAGGGCGGCAGAGGTGGGAAGGAAGGGGCACGGTGCACGGACGGCAGAGAGGAAGAGTCCAGAGAGAACGTGGGTAGGACATGGGAGACAGAGTGGGGCGAGGGGAGGCAAGTCTGGCAGATCCCGTGGTGGGTGGAGGACCTGGAGCTCCCTGGATGGTTCGGGAGGCCCTGACTCGAGTTGTTGGAGCGCCCGAGAACAGAAGGGGTCTCCCAGACACTGCTGAGGGGAAGGGACGGGGCAGAGCAAGTGGCACCAAGTTCCTCCAGAGACCTCACGCCCCTCAGCTCCCACCACAGCCCGGCCCAGACCTCTCCCAACGGTCCAGCAGTGCAGCACCGGGAGACCTGGGCCGAGTCTCCCGCCTGAACCGCCCTCCTCAAGGGCCATTCGATCGCCACAGGCGCTGGGAAATAATGGAGGCATTGTTGGCGGACCTGCCAGATGCCGAGCGCGTGGGGCCGCCACCTCCTGGACTGGCTGCCCGCCCGCCCACCCCTTCCCCAGTCCAACCACACATGGCCCCTCTGGGGCACGCCTCTGCAACAGCTGACACTCAATGGCCGACACCCCAGCGCACCCAGCACCACTCAGCCCCTGGCTTGTGCACCCCTCCCTGTGCTGCTGGGTAACACGTGTGGGGCCAAGTAAAGGGGTGTGGAGGCCGATGGGCCTTTGCTCAAACCTGTGAGGCCTCAGGTCTGCTGGGATCTGGGAGGCGGCTGTGCTCTTCCTGCCTGGGTCCTTCCAGGCCGGTCTCCGTGTTACAGCACACAGACCAGGCAGCTGGAGGCCAAGAGAAGGCAGGGTGGATGGGGACGCTGCTGTGGGCTCTGAGGTGGAGAGACCTGGAGAATGGCATCAACTTGCTAGTCCCCCAACACTTGCTGGGGCCCCTGCCCTAATCATACCCCTCCCTGCAAGAGGCCCACACTGCTGTCCTGATTGTGGGTGACAGCGGGGGGAGGGGGAGATGGCGCTGGCCTGTGTCCAGATGCTGTGTGCCCTCTGGGCAGCAGCAGCCACCCTCGTGTGGGTGCATCTCTACAGACAAGGATGGGTGGGTTCCTGCGGGCTCACCTGCTTGGATTGGGGGCAGGATGTTGGAAAAGGAGGCACAGGGGCTGCGTTCTGTGCAAGCTGGGGTGCTGGGGGTGGAGGGATGTGCAGACGGATGCCCGGCTTTCCCAGCCCCGGTGTCCCTCCTGACCTGGAGTCTTGGCTGCGTGTCCAGGCCCAGGACACTGGGTTTCCCTCCCAAGAAGCGCCCTTCTTTCCTGCTCCCACTCTGGGCTGCAGTTCCAAGAGTGGTGCCCAAAAGCTGGCCGGAGCTGGCAGGTCCGAGGTCCCGTCCGGCGCCTGGTGGCTTCACTGTGAGCCCTTGGGCGCCACACTCACCCTCTCTGGGTCTCGAGTCGCGTTCGTGCCAACCTGACGTTGTCCCCAAGCCTCCCAGCTCGGCTCTCTGCTCTCTCAAGTCGGAGCCTCAGCGGCGGCAGGACGCGGCTCCCTCCCTGACCCCCCTCCCGGGACCGTCAGCCTCTCCGCGCCTGCACGCCCGAGCCCAGGCCTCAGCCCGCGGCCGGCGCGGGGGCAAGCAGCTGCAGCGCCCACGGGCAGCCCTGGTCCGGCTCCTCCCCTGCCTGTCCCCACCCTCAGGCCCGCACTCGGGTGGCGTCTGGGCACCGCGGGTCCCCGCGCATAGGAGTGCAGTGCC